ATGGTAGTGAGAAATTTTCAAAATAAACATTTACCTAATATCTAACCAGAAAAAAGCCCCAAACTTTAAAATTAATTTTAAAAAGTGTCTTCCCTTTTAGCGCCCTTTTGTGCTGATTATTATTTTTAATTTTAACTGATCACAGTTTAATGGTATTTATTTTCAATACAGTTACAAGCTTTTTTTTTCCACCTACACTTCCCAGTAGAGTCTTTTGTATTGTGAGTTAACAGTTTTCCATCAAGACAAGGTAAAAAATGCACTTAAAACTATTAACAAAGGAGAGAAAGGAAGGATTGAAAATGGCATTTTTTTTCACTTCATTTGGCTTCCTTAGTGAAAGAGGGGGGATAAAAGCTGTCCAAGTCTAACTGGTATTTTCTGTAATAAATTACAGGCGAAGAGGGTTATGGGACCCTAAATATGACATGATAAACAAATGAACTAGTGAAGACAAAACCAGTCTACTGTCTATGTATGCATGTGGTATTTGTGTGCTAAGCAACAGTCTATGCATACAATATTAAGTTTCTGGGTTATTTTTTGTTTCTTTTTTAAAAAAGCTATTAGAGCAACAAAGTTTAATTGCTGCTGTCAGCACATATAATTCCTCACAACTAAGTTATTAAAACCAAAGGTAGAGAACTATTCAGGGATCTCTGAAGATATATATTTCCCTAGTCCTCTTCAAAGTGCCACTTTTCTTCTGTTGGACAACTCTAGAAATATATTTAACCTCCACATTTCCTCTGAGCTCTTTCACAATGGGCCCGCCTGATAAAATGAAGCAATCGGTCACTCATTATCGATTTTTCTTTTTCTCCCCTCTATAACCTCTCCCAGAAACACTGCCTGAAAATGAAGTTTACTTTGTTAGTCATAACAAAAACCTATGCTTGATTCTTATTTTTTTATGTTTCAAACTAGACTCTTGCTTTGGATAAAACAGATAGATCACACACATTTCCTGAAAGCAGACAATTTTGTATGAAGCCAATCCTCTTGCTTTGGTTAAAGGAGTAAATAAATGTTACACCAATTCAAGGGGATCTAAAGGCAAGCAAAGTTCACAAATAGCAGGAACAAGGGGTAACACAGGAACAGCAGACATGGAGAGCAGCCAAGAGCTGGCTACAATTCTCCCCGCTGAGTAAAGCAAAACAAAAACAACACCAAAAACGTCAATTACAAAATTAACGGAGGGATTAAAAAATCTTTGTGAATTTGTTCATGTAAACTTCAATTTTCTTGCAGTGTAAATTTATGTGGTCAAATTTCACTCATATCAAAGATGTGCGTATTTTTTCCTCTTTCCTGATGGGGATCCACGTTAATTAAACACAGCAGCATGTGCCAACTTTGAGCATCAGAAGCTGCAATTTGTATTTATCATGGTTTCGTGGATTTTTTTTTTT